AGACCATGAGAAACAAGATTCTCTGGTCTGATGAAACCAAGATTGAACTCTTTGGCCTGAATGTCAAGCGTCACGTCTGGAGGAAACCTGCCACCATCCCTACGATGAAGCATGGTGGTGGCAGCATCATGTCCAACAGGACAATGACACTAAGCACACAGCCAAGACAACGCAGGTGTGGCTTCGGGAAAAGTCTCTGAATGTCCTTGAGTGGCCCAGCCAGAGCCGGGACTTGAACCCGATCAAACATCTCTGGAGAGACCTGAAAATAGCTGTGCAGCAACGCTCCCCATTCAACCTGACAGAGATTGAGAGGATCTGCAGAGAAGAATGGGAAAAACTCCCCAAATACAGGTGTGCCAAGCTTGTAGCATCATACCCAAGAAGACTTTATACTGTAATTGCTGCAAAAGGTGCTTCAACAAAGTACTGAGTAAAGGGTCTGAATACTTGTGTAAATGAAATATTTCAGTTTATTTTTTATTTTTTATAAATTAGCAAACCTGTTTTTGCTTTGTCAATATGGGTTATTGTGTGTAGATTGATGAGAAAAAAACACACAATTTAATAAATTTTAGAATAAGGCTGTAACGTAACAAAATGTGGAAAAAGTCAAGGGGTCTGAATACTTTCCGAAGGCACTGTATACAGATGTAGGATCTTAATATAGTTGACTATATATATATATATATATATATATATATACAGGTAAAAGTCAGTAAATTAGAATATTTTGAAAAACTTGATTTATTTCAGTAATTGCATTCAAAAGGTGTAACTTGTACATTATATTTATTCATTGCACACAGACTGATGCATTCAAATGTTTATTTCATTTAATTTTGATGATTTGAAGTGGCAACAAATGAAAATCCAAAATTCCGTGTGTCACAAAATTAGAATATTGTGTAAGGGTTACATTTTGAAGACACCTGGTGCCACAAAATAATCAGCTGATTAACTCAAAACACCTGCAAAGGGCTTTAAATGGTCTCTCAGTCCAGTTCTGAAGCCTACACAAACATGGGGAAGACTTCAGATTTGACAGCTGTCCAAAAGGCGACCATCGACACATTGCACAAGGAGGGAAAGACACAAAAGGTTATTGCAGAAGAGGCTGGCTGTTCTCAGAGCTCTGTGTCCAAACACATTAATAGAGAGGCAAAGGGAAGGAAAAACTGTGGTCAGAAAAAGTGTACAAGCGATAGGGATCACCGCGCCCTAGTCAAGATTGTGAAAAAAAAACCCATTCAAAAATGTGGGGGAGATTCACAAGGAGTGGACAGCTGCTGGAGTCAGGGCTTCAAGATCCACCACCAAGAGACGCTTGAAAGACATGGGTTTCAACTGCCGCATACCTCGTGTCAAGCCACTGTTGACCAAGAAACAGCGCGAAAAGCGTCTCACCTGGGCTAAGGAAAAAAAGAGCTGGACTGCTGCTGAGTGGTCTAAAGTCATGTTTTCTGACGAAAGCAAATTTTGCATTTCCTTTGGAAATCGAGGTCCCAGAGTCTGGAGGAAGACAGGAGAGGCACAGGATCCACGTTGCCTGAAGTCTAGTGTAAAGTTTCCACCATCAGTGATGGTTTGGGGTGCCATGTCATCTGCTGGTGTCGGTCCACTCTGTTTCCTGAGATCAAGGGTCAACGCAGCCGTCTACCAGCAAGTTTTAGAGCACTTCATGCTTCCTGCTGCTGACCTGCTCTATGGAGATGGAGATTTCAGGTTCCAACAGGACTTGGCGCCTGCACACAGCGCAAAATCTACCCGTGCCTGGTTTACGGACCATGGTATTTCTGTTCTAAATTGGCCAGCCAACTCCCCTGACCTTAGCCCCATAGAAAATCTGTGGGGTATTGTGAAAAGGAAGATGCAGAATGCCAGACCCAACAACGCAGAAGAGTTGAAGGCCACTATCAGAGCAACCTGGGCTCTCATAACACCTGAGCAGTGCCAGAAACTCATCGACTCCATGCCACGCCGCATTAATGCAGTAATTGAGGCAAAAGGAGCTCCAACCAAGTATTGAGTATTGTACATGCTCATATTTTTCATTTTCATACTTTTCAGTTGGCCAACATTTCTAAAAAATCCCTTTTTTGTATTAGCCTTAAGTAATATTCTAATTTTGTGACACACGGAATTTTGGATTTTCATTTGTTGCCACTTCAAATCATCAAAATTAAATGAAATAAACATTTGAATGCATCAGTCTGTGTGCAATGAATAAATATAATGTACAAGTTACACCTTTTGAATGCAATTACTGAAATAAATCAAGTTTTTCAAAATATTCTAATTTACTGACTTTTACCTGTATATATATATATATATATATATATATATATATATATATATATATATATATATATATATATACACTCATCTTGTTCATAAACTCTTAATGCGAATCCATTTTCAACAATACATACAGTACAATGAGTTTTCATACAGATCTTAATGTGAGCCAGTTTGCTACAGCAGGAAAATAATCCTGCAGCAACAGGAAATTTGAATGATTTGACTCCCTGTCAAAATAAAGGTTAAATATTTGTTTTATTTTTATGATTGCACTCTTTATGCCATTTGACACATACAATACATTAACTGGTTATTTCTGAAGCTAACACAGTGTCGTACAAGACAGGCCAGTGAAAGAACACTGGTCTATACATCCATACTCCCTGTATACACTTCTGGCGGTGTGAAACAATCAAAATCAGTCTCTGGTTTAGCCTTTCATATTTTATTTTAGTTGATCAAATCGTAGAAAAAATATTGGAATAAACAAAACTATGCGTGAAGGACAAGCTGAAGTGTTTAGGACTACGTGACGTTGGGTTTCGTTTTCTCCTAACAGCGCTCATCCGACGTTTGTCTTTTTTCAGTTTACATTCTTATCAAAACAGAGAAATCTAGTGCACCACTCCATTTTCCACTTCTGTTTTGATAGCCTACCATATATAAAGTGCTCAGGACATTACTTCAACTCTTGTGTAGCATACAGCAGAATTTACATATTTTGTGCTGACATAAAATTAATAACTAAAACATACGTATTTTCCCCGTCCATATTTTTGTGCTGTTATTGATACCTGGTACTGTTAAAAATACAAAATAAAAGTCTTAAGAGTTTGAACAGAAAACATGATCTATTAGGTCCGGCTTAAGCCGTCATGACAACAGAATGAACAGATGTCATAACGATTGTGTGTATGTGTGTGTACGTGTATCTGTGTCTTTGTGTATGTGTGCAGTGACTATTGATATCTGCAAACATTGCTTCCATTAAAAACAGATTAAAAAGATGGATGGAGGTGTATAAAAAGCGGATCCGGGTGTAGTAGAGTGGTGGAGAGATGGAAAGGTGAAGGTGGGTTGTGTCTCTCAATGTTTCGGATGTCCCACCCACCTTCCAACAGCAGTCGCTCATCTTATTGTCAATCACCGGTTTGCACCAATGGCTCCACAGCACAGGGGAGTTGGGGGGAGGGGGACTGACTGTGTGTGGGTGTGGTTCATTGCTGAGGAAGATATAGAGGGATAGAGGATATGAGCTATGCCAATATTGCAGGGCGAGGGAATGAAACGGGGGATCTAGGGGGTGTGTGTAGTGGGGAGTGTGAGTGTGTCTGGGTCTCTGTGTCAGTTGTTTGACGGAGCATTCGGTGCCTGTGTGTGTGTGTTTGTGTGTGTGTGTGTGTCTTAGGTGTTGGTGGGGCTGTTCAGACCACTGTGGCTGGTCTGGGTGGAGTGTGTGTGTGTGTGTCTGTCTGAGTTGGTGGGGCTGTTCAGACCACTGTGGCTGGTCTGGGTGGAGTGTGTGTGTGTGTGTCTGTCTGAGTTGATGGGAGTGGTTAAACCACTGTGGCTGGTCTGCGGTCCATCTCCTCCTCCAGCTTCACCATCTGCTGGATGTCCTTGGCCTGGAGGGAACCAACACACACACTGTTACACAAACACACGGCGCGCACACACACACACCAACAGAAGAATCCACACACTTCTACCAGAGACACTTGCAGTGACATAATTCCACTGCCATTTATTGATTTAAACTACAATAACAGTACAACTACCTAAATTATGCCAGCCCAAATGAATCCCCCCGTCCTGTCCCAATGTTGCAGCATACTGTCACATGATATCCAGGTGTTAGGAAGACTCTCAGTGAAACAGCAGTAGAAGGTCTCCTGGGTCCTTGTGCTTCGTAATACTCCCATGACTCATCATAATGATCAATGACTCATGTAGACAGGACTGACTGCTGACACCCTGAGTGCTGCATATTAAAAGGTTGCCATTTGGTTTCATAACTCTCTCTCTCACTCACTCACTCACTCACTCACTCACTCACTCACTCACTCACTCACTCACTCACTCACTCACTCACTCACTCACTCACTCACTCACTCACTCACTCACTCTCATAGAACATAATCTGCTCTAACAGGTAGAAAGGACCTGCTATAGTGAATCCACTTTGACTAAACAGAGCAGATACCATCAGATTCAAACAGACTGAAAAGAAATAGGAAAACTGGAGTTGGAAAAGTTGACCAATCAAAGGGGAGACAGGGAGGGTCAGGGAATATCCAATGACACACACAGGTAGATCTGTGGTTACTTCAAGAAAGGGAGGAAGGATGGAAGGAAGCATTGTATGATTATTGGAGCAGGGTGTTAGTGCTTGATTCGAGATGGGACATTTGAGAGGGATGGTGGATTGAAAGAGGGAAAGAGAAGATGAGAGAGAGGGATGGTGGATTGAAAGAGGGAAAGAGAAGAAGAGAGAGAGGGGTCAGGGGTTAGGAAGATGGGATGGATGGAAGCGCCTACCTTGACACTGTTTATTGGCATGATGTGATTTCAAAAGCTGTGGTGCAAAAACCAGCAAACCATAGGGATGAGAGAGAACATACATGTAACATACATGTACAGGCTGTGAAAAATGATGACAAACAATACAACTATGGTTTGTGTGGTAATCTGATCCTAGATCAGCGGTTAGATACCTGCTCGTTGAACTTGTCCAGTTTCTCTAGCTGTTCATTCTGAGACTTCTCCTGCGTCTCCATCTCCTTCTGGTGCTTCATAGCCAACTAGCGATGGAACGAGGGATAGGGGAGAAAGATGGAGGGAGGAGAAAGATGGAGGAGGAGGAGAAAGATACATTTAATTTAACACCAACATGTATCATCTAAGCAAACCATTACAAGTCTAAGGCGCTAGTTGATTCACCTCAACAGCGTCACAGCATTATAATTAGTAGGAGATAGAACACCAACCCTTTTCCTTTCTTCCAGGAACTTTTTGGTGTTGCTGCTGTTCAACTCTCTAACTCTCCTGGGAAGAGAATGAGGAGGAGGAGATTGTAAGATTCTAAGAGTACAGACACAGTTTAAGGGCTGTTCATAGGGGACCTATATACTGTCGTCTACACTGAGTATACCAAACACTTACAACACCTTCCTAATATTGATTTGCACCCCCTTTTGCCCTCAGAACAGCCTCAATTCGTCGGGGCATGGACTCTACGAGGTGTCGAAAGCGTTCCACATGGATGCTTGGCCCATGTTGACTCCAATGTTTTCCACAGTTGTGTCAAGTTGGCTGGATGTCCTTTGGGTGGTGGACCATTCTTAATTCTACTGGGAACTGTGTAATGTGAAAAACCCAGCAGCGTTGCGGTTCTTGACACAAACCGGTGCGCCTGGCACCTACTACCATACCCTGTTCAAAGGCACTTAAATATTTTGTCTTGCCCATTCACCCTCCGAATGGCACACCCACCAATCCGTCTCAATTGTCTCAAGGCTTAAAAATCATTCTTTAACCTGTCTCCTCCCCTTCATCTACACTGATTGAAGTGGATTTAACAGGTGACATCAATAAGGGATCATAGCTTTCACCTGGATTCACCTGGTCAGTCTATGTCATGGAAAGAGCAGGTGTTTATAATGTTTTGTACACTCAGTGTATATTCATCCTGACATAACCCATACTCTCCATGCAGTCGAAGGCAGTTGGTGATTAGCGAGTGGGGCAGTGTGACCCACCTCTCCCTCTCTGCCTTGTTCTTGATGGTCTTGTCCTGGCTGATGGCCTTGCTGTTCTCCATGGACGTCTTGGCCTGGTTGGCCCGCATCTCCTTGCTCTGCCTGAGAGGGGAGGGGACCACGAAACAGTCTGGTAAGGAACCTCATCAACTACACATATACCTGACAGGACAAACCCACAGCTCACAGTAGCCAAGATGGTTAGACTGTATCTGTTGTACTAGGGACCTCATTCAGAGACATCATACCTATAGCACACATCATGTCCCAAGGAAGAACTCTGGATTTCCAGTTTGAGCTGTAGGGTCAGTTGTTTTGTCAGTTTGTGTTTAACTTTGAGCTGTAGGGTCTACTGCATGGCTCTCCAACCCTCCTGGAGAGCTACCGTCCTGTAGGTTTCCACTCCAACCCTGCTCCTGGAGAGCTACCCTACGGTAGGTTTAACTAACCTGATTGAGCTTATCCGCCAGTTAATTATTGGTTGGAGTGAAAACCTACAGGAGGGTAGCTCTCCAGGAACAGGGTTGGAGTGAAAACCTACAGGAGGGTAGCTCTCGAGGAACAGGGTTGGAGTGAAAACCTACAGGACGGTAGCTCTCCAGGAACAAGGTTGGAGTGAAAACCTACAGGAGGGTAGCTCTCCAGGAACAGGGTTGGAGTGAAAACCTACAGGAGGGTAGCTCTCCAGGAACAGGGTTAAAGAGCCCTGACCTACTGTATATGCATGTGTCTCTCTCTCTCACCGTTCGTGGATCAGTTTGAGCGATAGAGTCTGTTGTTCCTGGACTCCACTCAGTAGTTTCTTGAGGTGTTCACACTGTTGGACTACGTGGATGTCCTTCATATCCTGCTCTATACTGCTGTGGGAGTTGATCATCTCTGACCACTCCTTAGTGTGCTGGGCTGTAATGTCCTTCACCTGAAGGGCACAGGATACACACTACACACTTATACACTAAACACTATACCATCACTAACTACTCCTTAAGGTGCTGAGCTGCTGTAATGTTATTCAACTAATCACTGCAGGTGCAGGAGTCCCTTGTTTTTACTCATAGAATTCAGTTTGACAAAGACAATCGATGTCCTTCTAATGACAGAGGGGCGTGACTGTGAACTGAAGGTTACCTTAGCCTTGTGGTCAGTGGATAGTTTCTCCACTTTACTCTCAGTCTCCTTCTTCAACTCCAGACAGTTGTTTTCTCTGTGGGGGCGACAGAAAGGTATTTCTTAGATAGGTGGAGACAGGAAAGAACATTCATTTTACACACCCAATGGCTTTGTGCAGATGCCAGGTATACAACGATACATGTTTATGTTCAATGTTTATTTAAACATTTCATAATTAATTGATTGATCAATCTACAGGTCCTGATATTTACCCGTGTTTCTTGATGGCCTTTTCCAGCAGTTTGTCCTGTGTCAGCTTCTCCTTGTCGTACTGAGAAATCATCTTGTCCACCTGGGTGCAGTGGCACTTCTGCATGATGGTGCGATCCTAAAACAAAACACAACATATTACTGAGGATATCAAGTCACAACTGATTTACAGTGAGATACTATTGCAGAGATAGAGACAGCTTAAGATAGCTTGGTCCAACCTTTCCTAATCAAGTAATTTAGCATTACAGCCAGCCAGACCATATACAGTGGGGGAAAAAAGTATTTAGTCAGCCACCAATTGTGCAAGTTCTCCCACTTAAAAAGATGAGAGAGGCCTGTAATTTTCATCATAGGTACACGTCAACTATGACAGACAAAATGAGAAAAAAAAATCCAGAGAATCACATTGTAGGACTTTTAATGAATTTATTTGCAAATTATGGTGGAAAATAAGTATTTGGTCAAAACAAAAGTTTCTCAATACTTTGTTATATACCCTTTGTTGGCAATGACACAGGTCAAACGTTTTCTGTAAGTCTTCACAAGGTTTTCACACACTGTTGCTGGTATTTTGGCCCATTCCTCCATGCATATCTCCTCTAGAGCAGTGATGTTTTGGGGCTGTCGCTGGGCAACACGGACTTTCAACTCCTTCCAAAGATTTTCTATGGAGTTGAGATCTGGAGACTGGCTAGGCCACTCCAGGACCTTGAAATGCTTCTTACGAAGCCACTCCTTCGTTGCCCGGGCGGTGTGTTTGGGATCATTGTCATGCTGAAAGACCCAGCCACGTTTCATCTTCAATGCCCTTGCTGATGGAAGGAGGTTTTCACTCAAAATCTCACGATACATGGCCCCAATTCATTCTTTCCTTTACACGGATCAGTCGTCCTGGTCCCTTTGCAGAAAAACACCCCCAAAGCATGATGTTTCCACCCCCATGCTTCACAGTAGGTATGGTGTTCTTTGGATGCAACTCAGCATTCTTTGTCCTCCAAACACGACGAGTTGAGTTTTTACCAAAAAGTTCTATTTTGGTTTCATCTGACCATATGACATTCTCCCAATCCTCTTCTGGATCATCCAAATGCACTCTAGCAAACTTCAGACGGGCCTGGACATGTACTGGCTTAAGCAGGGGGACACGTCTGGCACTGCAGGTTTTGAGTCCCTGGCGGCGTAGTGTGTTACTGATGGTAGGCTTTGTTACTTTGGTCCCAGCTCTCTGCAGGTCATTCACTAGGTCCCCCCGTGTGGTTCTGGGATTTTTGCTCACCGTTCTTGTGATCATTTTGACCCCACGGGGTGAGATCTTGCGTGGAGCCCCAGATCGAGGGAGATTATCAGTGGTCTTGTATGTCTTGCATTTCCTAATAATTGCTCCCACAGTTGATTTCTTCAAACCAAGCTGCTTACCTATTGCAGATTCAGTCTTCCCAGCCTGGTGCAGGTCTACAATTTTGTTTCTGGTGTCCTTTGACAGCTCTTTGGTCTTGGCCATAGTGGAGTTTGGAGTGTGACTGTTTGAGGTTATGGACAGGTGTCTTTTATACTGATAACAAGTTCAAACAGGTGCCATTAATACAGGTAACGAGTGGAGGACAGAGGAGCCTCTTAAAGAAGAAGTTATAGGTCTGTGAGAGCCAGAAATCTTGCTTGTTTGTAGGTGACCAAATACTTATTTTCCACCATAATTTGCAAATCAATTCATAAAAAATCCTACAATGTGATTTTCTGGATTTCTTTTCTCAATTTGTCTGTCATAGTTGACGTGTACCTATGATGAAAATTACAGGCCTCTCTCATCTTTTTAAGTGGGAGAACTTGCACAATTGGTGGCTGACTAAATACTTTTTTCCCCCACTGTAGCTGAAGACTTACACTAAGAAACCATTAGTGGAAATGATTAAACCCCTGGCTAGTGGGTACATCTGTTCTAAAACATCAGTCTGACTGTCAGAACTGTTATGCAACAGGAAAAGAGAGCAGGTGTCACGACTTCCGCCGAGGCTGCCTCCCCTCCTTGTTCGGGCAGGTTTTGGCGTTCGTCGTCACCGGCTTACTAGCTATTGCCGATCCCACTCTCATCACTCCACTTGTCAAGTCTTGTCTTGTCAATCACACACACCTGGTGCTCATTCCCCTTTTTAGTATGTGTATAAGTGTTCCCTCTGTTCCCCTTGTCTTTGTGAGTGATTGTTTCATTGTTTCATAGCTCGGTTGAGCTACTCTTCAATTTGTTATTGCCAAGGTGGAATATTTCCCTTGTGATAGTATCGTATTGACGCTGGGTGCATTTTATTTATGTAAACGGAATAAACTCTGGACTTTGGTGTTTTACCTCCTGCGCCTGACTCATTCACACCTCATCACAGAATCACTCACCCGCTGAATGGAGTCAGCAGGAGAAGACCGCATGCCTGGAGTTGTGGCAAGGGTCCAGCAGCATTCCTCGATGCTGGCCAGCTTGGGGGAAGTGATGGATCGGGTTCTTCAGGTAGTACAACGCCTGGAGAGGAGAGGACCCGATCTATCGAGACCAGCTGGTCAACCGGATCCAGCCACTTACACCCCAGCCCCTGGAGGGATCCAGATATCCTGGCCACCGGCGTTTGATGGGACGGCAGCGCGATGAAAGGGATTTCTGCTCCAACTAGAGTTGTATTTCTCCAGCATCAGGCCGGCGCCACTGGAGTGGGAGAAGGTATCCGTCCTCGTTTCCTGCCTTTGTGGGAGAGCCCTGGAGTGGGCCAACGAGGTGTGGAATGAGGGAGGTGCCGCATTGGAGGACTACGAGGAGTTTGCTCGCCTCTTTCGTGCCGTTTTCGATCACCCGCCTGAGGGTCGAGAGGCGGGCGAACGACTGGTCCATCTGAGGCAGGGGACGAGGACCGCACAGGACTACGCGCTGGAGTTCCGGACGCTGGCAGCGGGGTCCGGGTGGAACGAGCGGTCCCTGATCGACCGTTTCCGGTGCCACCTAAGGGAGGACGTCCGACGGGAGCTAGCCTGCCGTGATGCCATGCTATCGTGCTCCCAACTGGTGGACATGGCCATCCGGCTGGACAATCTGCTAGCAGCCAGAGGACGTCCTGATAGGGGTCTGCCCGTTCCCACTCCGGACAACTCTGACCCCGAGCAGATGGAGCTGGGGGGAGCCGCCGGTCGAGAGAGCGCAGGAGGACAGCGACAGTGCCACTCTGGTGGCACGAAGGGACAATCCACCTCACATCGCAGTCAACGTTCCTTTGGGTCTGGAGGCGGTGGGCAGGGTACTCACGCATCACCCCAGGTAACGAACACCCAAAATTGTTCAGAGCCCTTTGCGGCGCACTGTACCTTATCTATCTCCTTTCCCGATCACCTGGTAGTTTCCCAGGGTAAGGCGCTAGTCGATTCAGGCGCAGCTGGGAACTTTATGGACAGGGCATTTGCACGCCGTCAAGGCATTTCATTGGTTCCCCTATCCATCCCAATCCCCATCAGAGCACTTGATAGTCGACCATTAGGGGTCCGGGTTCGTTAAGGAGGTTACTGTACGAGTCACCACGATTACACAGGAGACGCATGTTGAGCAGATCACTTTTTTGATTATTGAGTCTCCTGCTTACCCTGTAGTCTTAGGTATTCCGTGGTTAGCCCTTCACAACCCCACTTTTTCATGGCCGCAGAGGGTTCTTACGGGGTGGTCGCGTGAGTGTCCGGGTAGGTGTCTAGGTGTTTCCGTTGGTGCGACCACGGTGGAAAGTCCAGACGGTACCCCCACCATGCGCATTCCCCCCGAATACCATGATCTGGCGCTCGCGTTTTCCAACTCTTCCATTTGTTATTGCCAAGGTGGAATATTTCCTTTGTGATAGTTTCGTATTGACGTTGGGTGCGTTTTATTTATGTAAACGGAATAAACTCTGGACTTCTGTGTTTTACCTCCTGCGCCTGACTCCTTCATTCACACCTCATCACAGCAGGAAGTTACTATGGTCAACCCTACAAGAGATCCTCTCTTTAGTATACAAACCATAACATATTTTCACAACACACATGCTGTTGCGTAAGAAGAGATTTCATAAGGACAGAGTGTTAGTGACTGAAGTCTAGCTACTGTGTGTGTGTGTGTGTGTGTGTGTGTGTGTGTGTGCTTGCATGCATGTGTGAGGGGGTGGGTCATCTTAGCAAGTCTAATTTCTGTCTGTCCACTCTCTGGTGAGATCAAATACAAACACCTTAGGTTACAGGATGCACTCTAGAGTGTGTGTTTGTGTGTGTGCGTGCGGGGGTCAGACAACAGTGAATGATGAAAGGAGAGACCTCTATCACTCTTTTTTCCTCTCTCTCTCTCGCTCTCTCTCTCTCTCTCTCGCTCTCTCTCTCTCTCTCTCCCTCTCGCTCTCTCGCTCTCTCCCCATCTCTTTCTCGCGATCAATGTGTGGACGTCAGGATGAATGAGCTGTCCTAGTGTTAGCTCTGTTAATAGAAGAGCAGTCTAAAACATCAACCCACCTTAGCGTGCTTCTTCTTGATAGAGTTCAGCTCTTTCTGTTGCTTTTTAATCAGTTTAAGGTACGTCTGGAGAGAGGAGAGACAGGTTATTGAAACCAGATTGAATTCACTAAATCAAAGGACAGCAAGCTCAAAGACACTAGACAAAGCCTGTTTGAGGAATGACAGTGCTGCATTTACCCCCTCTGTTTCTTCTACAGGATATATCTGACTGATGTTAAATATTATTGATACTGATAAACAAATTATATATAAACATGATAATTTTTTATGATGTTGGTGAATACATTTACCAGATTATAAAGTTATACTAGGGAAGGGAACTAGGGAACTGTTAAGGTTCTGGTTAGGAGTAAGCTAGATGGTAGAGGTCAGATATTAGGTACTTATGCCTCACCTTCATCTGTTTCAAGTCATCAATGTTCACATGAGGCACCAGTGCATTTATATCTACAAAGACAGAAATGGAAAAACATCTCAATTGTGTAAATGTGAATGTGGTGTGTGATGTACTGTAGAGGGCTAGACCAGCTCCGAGCTGTCTGTGTGTTAGTGTGTCTGTGTGTGTTAGTGTGTCTGTGTGTTAGTGTGTCCTGTTAGTGTGTTTGTGTGTGTGTTAGTGTGTCTGCGTGTGTTAGTGTGTCTGTGTGTGTGTTAGTGTGTCTGTGTGTGTTAGTGTGCCTGTGTGTTAGTGTGCCTGTGTGTGTTAGTGTGCCTGTGTGTTAGTGAGTCTGTGTGTGTTAGTGTGCCTGTGTGTGTTAGTGTGCCTGTGTGTGTTAGTGTGCCTGTGTGTGTGTTAGTGTGTCTGTGTGTGTGTGTTAGTGTGCCTGTGTGTGTTAGTGTGTCCGTGTGTGTGTGTGTTAAGTGTGTGTCTGTGTGTGTTGTTAAGTGTGTCGGTTAGTGTGTCGTGTGTGTGGTTAGTGTGTCCTGTGTCTGTGTTTAGTGTGTCTTGTGTGTTACGTGTGGCCTGTTGTGTGTTAGTGTGCCCTGTGTGTGTTAGTGGTGCCCTGTGTGTTGTTAGTGTGCCTGTGTGTGTTAGTGTGTTGTGTGTGGTGTAGTGTGTTAGTGTGTGTTAGTGTGTTGTGTGAGTCTGACTCAGTTTTGTCTCCATAAACGGACAACTGTTTCAATACGATTGTCACGACTTCTGCCGAGGCTGCCTCCCCTGCTTGTTCGGGCAGGTTTCGGTGTTCGTCGTCACCGGCTTACTAGTTACTGCCGATCCCATTCTCATCACTCCACTTGTCATGTCTTGTCTTGTCAATCACACACACCTGGTGCTCATTCCCCTAATTAGTATGTGTATAAGTGTTCCCTCTGTTCCCCTTGTCTTTGTGAGGAATTATTTATTGTGAGAGCGAGTAGCTCAGTTGAGCTACTCTTCTATTTGTACTTGCCAAGGTGGAATATTTTCCCTTGTTATAGTTTCGTTTTCACGCTGGGAGCGTTTGATTTATGTAAACAGAATAAACTCTGGACTTCGGTGTTTTACCTCCTGCGCCTGACTGCTTCATTCATACCTCATCACAGAATCACTCACCCTCTGAATGGAGACAGCAGGAGAAGACTGCATGCCTGGAGTTGTGGCAAGGGTCCAGGAGCATTCCTCGATGCTGGACAGCTTGGGGGAAGCGATGGATCGGGTTCTTCAGGTAGTAGAACGCCTGGAGAGGAGAGGACCCGATCTATCGAGACCAGCTGGTCAACCGAATCCAGCCACCTACACCCCAGCCCCTGGAGGGATCCAGATATCCCGACCACCGGCGTTTGATGGGACGGCAGCACGATGTAAGGGATTTATACTCCAACTCGAGCTGTATTTCTCCAGCATCAGGCCAGCGCCACTGGAGCGGGAGAAGGTATCCGTCCTCGTTTCCTGCCTTTGTGGGAGAGCCCTGGAGTGGGCCAACGCGGTGTGGAACGAGAGAGGTGCCGCGTTGGAGGACTACGGGGAGTTTGCTCGCCTCTTTTGGGCCGTTTTCGATCACCTGCCTGAGGGTCGAGAGGCGGGCGAACGACTGGTCCATCTGAGGCAGGGGACGAGGACCGCACAGGACTACGCGCTGGAGTTCCGGACGCTGGCAGCGGGGTCCAGGTGGAACGAGCGGGCCCTAATCGACCATTTCCGGTGCCACCTAAGGGAGGACGTCCGACGGGAGCTAGCCTGCCGTGATGCCATGCTATCGTTCTCCCAACTGGTGGACATGGCTATCCGGCTGGACAATCTGCTAGCAGCCAGAGGACGTCCTGGTAGGGGTCTGCCCGTTCCCACTCCGGACAACTCTGACCCCGAGCAGATGGAGCTGGGGGGACCGCCGGTCGAGAGAGCGCAGGAGGACAGCGACAGTGCCACTCTGGTGGCACGAAGGGGCAATCCACCTGACGTCGCAGTCAACGTTCTTTTGGGTCTGGAGGCGGTAGGCAGTGTACTCACGCATCACCCCATGTAACGAACACCCAAACTTGTTCAGAGCCCTTTGCGGCGCACTGTACCCTATCTATCTCCTTTCCTGATCACCTGGTAGTTTCCCAGTGTAAGGCGCTAGTCGATTCAGGCGCAGCTGGGAACTTTATGGGCATTTGCACGCTGTCAAGGCATTTCATTGGTTCCCCTATCCATTCCACTCCCCATCAAGCACTTGATAGTCGACCATTAGGGTCCGGGTTGGTTAAGGAGGTTACTGTACCAGTCACCATGATTACACAGGAGACGCATGTTGAGCAGATCACTTTTTTGGTTATTGAGTCTCCTGCTTACCCTGTAGTCTTAGGTATTACGTGGTTAGCCCTTCACAACCCCAAATTTCCATGGCCGCAGAGGGTTCTTATGGGGTGGTCGCGTGAGTGTCCGGGTAGGTGTCTAGGTGTTTCCGTTGGTGCGACCACGGTGGAAAGTCCAGACGGTACTCCCACCGTGAGCATTCCCCACGAATACCATGATCTGGCGCTTGCTTTTCCAAGACGCAAGCGACTAAATTATCCCCTCATCGGGAGGGGGATTGCGCGATAAACCTTTGGGTAGACGCTGTACCTCCCAGGAGTCATGTGTATCCCCTGTCGCAGGCTGAAATGGAGGCTATGGAAACATACGTCACCGAGTCCCTGCGCCAGGGGTATATACGTCCCTCCACTTCACCTGCTTCCTCGAGTTTCTTCTTTGTGAAGAAGAAAGATGGCGGTTTACGCCCGTGCATTGATTATCGACCACTGAATAAGGTGACGGTACGATTTAGTTATCCTCTTCCCCTCATTCCTTCAGTGATTGAGTCAATGCATGGGGCCCGTATTTTCACCAAATTAGACCTCAGGAGTGCCTACAACCTGGTGCGTATTCGGGAAGGGGATGAGTGGAAAACAGCATTCAGCACAACCTCGGGGCATTATGAATACCTGGTGATGCCCTACGGTTTGATGAATGCTCCATCCGTTTTCCAGTCCTTTGTGAACTAGGTATTTCGGGACATGCTTGGTCGCGGTGTGGTGGTCTACATCGATGACATCCTGGTGTATTCCTCATGCCAAGGCAGAGAAGTGTGAGTTTTTCCAGCAGTCAATCTCCTTCCTCGGATACCGCATTACTACCACAGGTGTGGAGATGGAGGGAGATCGCATTTCAGCCGTGCGTAATTGGCCGACTCCAACCACGGTGAAGGAGGTGCAGCGCTTCCTTGGCTTTGCCAACTACTATCGAAGGTTTATTCAGGGCTTTGGCAAGGTCGCAGCTCCTATTACCTCCTTGTTGAAGGGTGGGCCGTCCCGGCTCCGCTGGTCTGCTGAGGCTGATTTGGCCTTCAAGATGTGGGTAGGTTCCTGCGGACCTACTGTCAGGACCGGCCGGGGGAGTGGTCGGTGTTCCTGCCAAGGGCAGAATACGCTCAGAACTCTCTCCGCCACTCCTCCACTAACCTAACACCCTTCCAATGTGTTTTGGGTTCCCAACCGGTCCTGGCACCGTGGCACCAGAGCCAGATCAAGGCTCCTGCGGTGGATGACTGGTTTCGGCGTGCGGAGGAGACTTGGGACGCTGTCCACGATCGTCTCCAGCGTGCTGTGCGTCGTCAGAAGGCGAACGCTGACCGCCACCGCAGGGAGGCCCCGGTTTTCGTACCGGCGGATCGGGTCTGGCTCTCGAAGCGGAATCTACCCCTCCACCTGCCCTGCCGGAAGCTGAGCCCGCGGTTTGTGGGGCCGTTTAAAGTCCTGAGGAGGATAAACTAGGTTACTTCCAGGTTGTTACTTCCCCCTGATTACCGTATTAACCCCTCGTTTCATGTGTCTCTCCTCAGGCCGGTGGTAGCTGGTCCGCTCCAGGAGTCTGAGGTGCGTGAGGTTCCTCCACCTCCTCTGGACATCGAGGGGGCCCCGGCGTACTCGGTCCGTTCCATACTGGATTCGAGGCGTCTGGTGGGGGGCCTTCAGTATCTCGTGGAGTGGGAGGGGTACGGTCCGGAGGAACGGTGCTGGTTCCCAAGGAGGGACATCCTCGATCCCTCCCTGTTGAGGGATTTCCACCGTCGCCATCCGACTCGCCCTGCTCCGCGTCCTCCTGGCCGTCCCCGATCCCATTCTCATCACTCCACTTGTCATGTCTTGTCTTGTCAATCACACACACCTGGTGCTCATTCCCCTAATTAGTATGTGTATAAGTGTTCCCTCTGTTCCCCCTTTCTTTGTGAGTGATTGTTTATTGTGAGAACAGGTAGCTCGGTTGAGCTAATCTTCTATTTGTACTTGCCAAGGTGGAATATTTTCCCTCGTTATAGTTTCGTTTTCACGCTGGGAGCATTTGATTTATGTAAACGGTATATACTCTGGTGTGTTCATCTGTCAACAAAGGAAACACAGCACTGATGTTCCTTGCTATCATCATTTAAACATCTAAGTTAGCTCTGAGTGAGGCAGATATCTGCACTCATTCCACAGGTCAATGTTGTAAAGAGTCATAAAAACAATGATGACAGTTGACTAGATGGTGTCTGACAGCTCTGGTTATTAAAATAATTGTATTTGTAAGATTGTAACAGCCTCTATTCCCCAAAGGGCCACTGTCGCAAAGGAATGATTCCTGCAGGATATATCCCTCCGTGCCACACGTACGCACGCACACACTCAAGAACATAATAAAACACAAGAGACAGCCACTGTCACACATGCAATTGGAGGATATACGTTCATACCCTGTATTTAGATCATCAGTATCACTTATAGTCTACATTTGGTTTTCATTATCCATATACAATAATTACACTGACAATAGAGCTATTCAGATACACTCTACAAGTATGTTATCGTTTTCCCCCAAATGTGTATGAGAAATGTTCTTATTTTTGCAGAACAATGTTTGACTATAATGCATATAAAACCATTAAACTGTCTGAGAGCAGTAGGATATTACACTGTCTG